AGGTTAAAATTGGAGGCTGGTATTTCTAAAAATCAATTTGGCTTCATATTGAGTAAGATAACTACAAAAGCAATTTATTCATTAAAAGAATTAATGAAAAAGTATCAAAGCAAATTCAAAGATTTATATATAGTTTTTATTGATTTGAAAAAGCTTATGACCATGTCTCGAAAGAAGTACTTGGAAAATATTGAAAAAGAAAGGAGTCCAATTGCCTATATTAGAGCTATATAAAATATGTTAGTTTGAGGGGGTAACAACCAACATAAGAATGTCTAGCAGTGAGAAAAAGTAGGTGTGGTACTTATTAAAAGGAAAGGAATAAAAAATTATTTGAGATAGTTTGGATATGTATAGAGAAGGTTGTAGGAGGTACCAGTGAAGAGAGTATAATGGATAATTTTGAATCTTATAAAGTGGGATAGAAGAAGGCTAAAGAAAATGCTTATGAAAGTTGTAAAATGAGACCTCTTAATAATATTATTAAAAGTTTAGTTAAGATAGAATATAATGACATTGTATAGTTCATGTAGCTGACTCTATTTAATGGGATAAGATTTGTTATTGTTATTTGTTTGTTATATTATTAAATTAAATTTTAATTTGTTTAAATCACTTGAAAAAATTATGGGCGTTCATGAAAGCTCGTTGGTGCCCCCACATCAACAGTGAGGAAAGATATCTTCACTGTGCCACGTCAAGCTCACATTATCAATTGAAAGAATTTTGGAGTCGAGTTCTTGCAATTTCATAGTCCGGTTCAATGGTTGGGAATTATTTTAACAAAAAAGGATTAAATAATAATTTTGCTTTTAAACTATAGGTCTTGAAGTGTATGAGATTAATTTTGGCATAATAGAAAAGTGTATTAGATTGATAAATTTCAAAATACTAATGTTACTTTTTACACAAATAAAATAGCAAAATATCATTTTGATAATCCACTTTAACTAATTACTAAGTAATTAAATAAAAATTATTATACTTTTTAATAATATCTTATTAAAATATCAATACTTTAATAAACAATATTCTTATTTACAAATCTCCAAATGTAATTTACAACTTAATTTTTGAGATTTACAAACTTTCCAAAAAATACAACTCAACAAGTGCAATTGTGACTGAAAAGTGAATGCTTTTTTTTTTTTTACACTTATTTTTTTTCCCAGCAAGGGGCAATTACCCATAATATCCACTCATCCATCATGGTTAATGATAGATGTAATGGTATTGTGCAGTTTATGTAATTGACTCTATCTAATATGATAAGATTTGTTATTATTATTTGTTTGTTATATTATTGAATTAAATTTTAATTTGTCAAAAGCTACTTTAACTAGTTACTGAGTAATTAAATAAAAACTATTATATTTGTTTTAATAACATCTTATTAAAATATTAATACTTTAATGTATAATATTATTATTTACTAGTCTCCAAATGTAATTTATAAGTTAATTTTTGAGATTTACAAACTTTTCAAAAACTGCAACTTAACTAATGTAATTGTGACTTAAAAGTGAATGCGTTTTTCTGCAGTTTTTTTTTTTTTTTGATAGGGGACAATTGCCCATAATATCCACTCAGACATCATAGGAAGAAACACATGCACCTTCTACAAATTTTTCTACTTTGGAAATCAAATGCACATTCTCTCTTTTCCCATAAGAAGGAACTCATGCACTCTCCCACAGACTTTCCCACTCTAAGAATTGAACACATATCCTCCTTATCGCAGGAGGAGTGCAGTGCACTCATCAATGGGCCAAAGGATACTTATTTGTGATTTCTTAAATATTTTTCTATAATTTTGATATCTTTTCTGTATTTTTATTATCAACTAACCATCGAAATAAACTTTTTTTAATAATAAAAAATATCATACTTTTTTCAATTTTTAAAAGGAAATATTATTTCAAAATATAGTTTATAGTTTGAGACACCCTTAAACTTATAGTTTAAAGTAAAAATTACCAAAAAGAAAACATTACTTAATTTAAAGGTAAGTGATTAGTATGATAGATGTGTCGTCCCTTTGAAAGCTCTCTCTCATTAAACTTGTAAGGCTTGGGTTCAGATGTACACGAGGAACTATTGTCATAGATCTTAATTAAACAAGCTTGCTTGCCCGTTTGAAATTCGATCGCAACAATATTCCAAAAGGTCGTCATCAAGTTTAAATGCTTTTGGAAGAAAAAGGACTTTTTTTATTGTAATATTTATTTATATAAAATTTAGATATATACCCACAATTAATAGAGAACTTGTCTGCAAAGTAACTCAATCGAGAAGACCCCCCAAGTGAAAGTGCTTACAAATCGGGGAAGAAGATTTTGTGGTCTGACTATTATCTAATTTTATGACAACACGTCTGTCAACATCGGCGACTGCAATTCAGCTTTCATCAATGTATACCACCGACTTGGCTTCTCTTCCCCGACCTTTCTTTCCATTTCCTCTTCACTAATTAAAATAAAATCTGGACCATTTAAATCTGGTGGGGATTAAATTTGATTGGTCCACATTTAACATTTTTATTTTTTATTTATATTTATATTTTATACTTATTAAAATAAAAATTAAATTTTTAATAAATTCACTTTATCACCCATCTAGGCAGTATAGATTTAATATGTTCAATTTAATTTAATTTTTATTTTTTTTATAATTTTTTATAAATTGATTATCCAAATTTACTTTGAAAAGTTCATATTTAATATAAATTTTTATAAATTTTTATTTTGATAAATATAAATTAAAAGTAGAGATAATTTACCAACTGACACTTTCTAAAAACATATTTTTATAAAAAATTATAAGTTAAAAAACGTAAATCCGAACCATTAAAAATAAATTTAAGTAATCAATTTATAAAAATTTAATATTAATTTTTAAACCCTCTAAATTAAATTTGAACTATTTTGATGGGTCATAAAATAGATTTATTAAAAATTTTAATTTTAATTTTAATAAGTGTAAAATAAAAACATAACTAAAGAATAAAAACTTTGAATTTGGACCATCCAAATTTATTCTGTATTAAACTTAGATGGTCCAGATTTCATTTTAGTTAGTGGAGGAAAAGTGGAGAGTATACCACATTGTTGTTGTTGTTGTTGTTGTTGTTCTTTAGATCATTCGCCAACTAAATCCTTGTATTGACAGTGAAATTTTATTAGACTAATTTTGTGATAAATTATTTTTAGTATTTAATTGGCATGTAGGAAGACGACTTCATCATTCTAATGTAAAGAGAAAAAATGACTCGCATTAACAATTGAGAAGCGCGCCTATAAAATCGTTTAATTTGTTGAGATTACACTTTCGTAAGAAAATAGAGAATATATATATATATATATATATATATTCATTAGTCCCTGTGTATATTATGTTTTAGCATGAGTCTCTATAATTTTTATTCTTTGCTTCAAGTCTCTTAAGTTTTATTTGAATGTAACGTTAAATCTTATATTTTTAAATATGATCATAAAAACTTAATGGTGGCTCTTGTGTAAATAAACTCTATTATTTCTTGTGTTGATTTGTTAAAATTATGATGAGTTGTACAAAAAATCATGAGTAGAAGACAGAAAAAAAGCAGAACATTAAATCAAAATCTTCAAATATGCAATAAACAAAAGGAAATCTTTAAATATGCAATGAATTAAAATGAAACTCTAGTAAGAACAAGATATGATAGCTATTAGACAGACGGGAAAAAAAAATTAGCAATGATTTTGCTCATAAAATGCGCAATTTGACCTCAATATTGCAAAAAAAAAAATATTTATTCATATATACTATACTTTTAAAAATATTTTCCTAGATGTTATAAAGTAGAGACTCGATATATATCAGACTGAGATTCAATTTTTTTTTTTTTACATATGGAAGTACAAAACTTGGCCTTAATCAAGCCAAGTTCTGTACTCATAATTACAAAAAGAAAAAAAATCTATGCTTAGCCTAAAATAGCCTATCATTTATTCTCATGAGCCATATATATATATATATATATATATTGGCATGTTGTGTATAATATGTGGTGGTTTGGGTCTTTTTTTTCTTCAACATATAAGTGGGTGTTAGTTATATATAATATAAATAATATAAATAATATAATAAATTTATAATTGTAATTATCTATGTGAAAAAATATGAAATACCTTAAAGAAGATATCACATTTAAAATGAAAATCTTTGTACATAACAATAACACACAAATATATGGATTTGTTTTCAGTGTGAAGGAATTGACTGATTCAAAAAAGGGTAAACCATGTCGTTTTATGGTTTTCTCCCGTTTTTCACTTCCAATATCACAAAATTATAATAATAATAAATTAATATTATAAAATTATTTTTATTACATTAAATAAATAAATTTAATTTTTTGAAATTTGACCTTAATTAGTTTAGATATAGAATTTGACTTAATTAGTTTAGAACTACATTAGAAGCTAGAAAAGAATTACCTCAACTGTTAGAATAGCGACTAAGTCTAGTAGAATGAGCTAACTACTCCTAACGCAGCAAACAAGGTTCGACTTCCAGTTAAAAGAGTTTTTCACATTAATATTCCAACATGCCTCGAATAAGATTTCTTCTAATAAATAGATATTTGTGCATCATCAATAAAATTTGGACTATTGAAATCAAATTCTATATTTGAACTCTCCAACTCAAATTTCAACAATTAAATTTATTTATTTAATATAATAATAATTTTATGATATTTATTTATTACTATAATGATAGCTGTGATTTTACCGTTTAATTTTAGAAAGGAAAAAGAGCGTGAGAAAGAAAAAAAAAAAGCCATGAAACGAAGTTGCAATGTCGTCGATCACAGTGGTGCACCGAAACAAAGTCCGGCCCTTCGGTGCTATCTCTTGATCAATTAAAACATATAGTTCCCCATAAGACACGTTTCTCTTAACTTGTCCGCCCCATGAACCTATAAATATCGCCATTCTCTTCTTCTCTGAAACCACCCAAGCAAACCAATCTCTCCATAAACATGGCTTCCATTAAACAAGCTTCTCTCTTGCTCCTACCTCTCTTGCTCATTTCCTCTTTGATTGAGACGTCCTCGGCTGCCGGAATTGCCGTTTATTGGGGCCAAAACGGCAATGAAGGCTCCCTCGCCGACGCATGCAACACTGGCAACTACCAATTTATTAACATTCGTTTCTTGGCCGTCTTTGGCAACGGCCAAACCCCACAACTGAACCTCGCCGGCCACTGTGACGGTACCGCCAGCACCTGCGCCGGTTTTAGCAATGACATCAAAACTTGCCAATCCAAAGGCATCAAAGTGCTTCTCTCCCTCGGCGGTGGCTCCGGAGGCTACTCCCTTAACTCCACCGACGAGGCCAAACAGCTCGCTAACTACCTCTGGAACAACTTCCTTGGAGGAAGCTCCACCTCACGGCCATTAGGCGACGCCGTTTTGGACGGCATGGACTTCGACATGGAGGCCGGTAACGGCCAGCACTGGGAGGAGCTAGCCAGAGCTCTGAAGGCGTTCAACCAGAACCTAATCCTCTCCGCCGCGCCGCAATGTCCGTTCCCAGATGCTAACCTGAGCAATGCGATCAACACTGGGTTGTTCGATAATGTTTGGGTTCAATTCTATAACAACCCTTCCTGCATGTACACCAGTGAGAACATTAACAATCTTTTGAGCTCATGGAACCAATGGAATACTGTGCAAGCTGGTCAGATGTTCATGGGGGTTCCGGCATCTCAGGCAGCGGCTCCGAGTGGCGGGTTTATTCCGGCTGACGTGATGACTTCTCAAGTTCTTCCGGCGATCAAGGGGTCAGCTAAGTACGGCGGAGTCATGATCTGGGACAGGTTCAACGATCTCCAAAGTAAATATAGCGACGCCATTAAGGGTTCTCTTTAAAGAACTCAAGAGTTAAGTTTAATCTTCTGGTCAATAAGTAGCAGGTTGGTAGGATTATTGTTCCTACGGTACTGAAAGCTACATGAGTGCAATAAAAATTTCTTCATGGAATGGATGAATTTGGAATTTGGAATACATAATGAAATACATAGACTGTTTCATTTTCAACATTATCTGACATATAAAATTAAGCGCGGTTTGCATTTGCCTGTGTACATGTGGATTTTAAATACAGTGAATGAAACAGAGCCAACTATCAATAATCAATCATTATTTTACATAACAGGATAACAACAATTTTATTTAGTTTTGGGAGTTAGTATTTCTACCCCCGGCTACTTGGCAAATATATATATATATATATATATATATGAGCATTTAATTTGAAATTAAACTGAACAATAAAATTTATGACGTTTGTTTGAATTTTTTAAAGTAATCATAAAAAAGTAAATTTTGATTATTTTGATAAGTTACTTTAAAGAATTTCTGGAAATAATATGATATAATAAATAATCTCATTTTTAGATTAATAACTATAACTAAAGAGGAATAGAAGCTCAAAATCAAAGAGAACAGGATCAAAATCAAAGCAGATGATATACAAATCGGAAATTTGAGCTTATGCGTGCTAGGTTTAAAATACCCAAAACATATAAAAATGTCTGCATAACCAAGCCCAATCCAAAATGGTAAATATTATTTATTTTGTTTCTGTTTTTTAGTAAATTTCAATTTTGTATCTTAAAAAAATTAAAAATTTTCAAGCATGTAACATGACACTACAATGTACATTTTTTGTATACTTGTTAAATTGAGACTAAGTATTGAAAGAGTAAAATAAAAGCATGTGAAGTAAATTCTTATGTTTATTTTTTCCTTAATATTTTCAAAAGATATTCAAAACAAATTGTTATTAGAATATTAAAAGTTTTTTTGGGAGTGCGAGATGCCTGAAGTAAGAATTTAGGAAAGATTTTGTGAGTGTTAAATGAAAGATGAAGTGAATATTAATTTCAATTTATTAATAATAAAAAAGAATTTGGGTTTTGGCTTGCCTTATATTTTTTCAGGTTTATACAAATCACTTGAATAAATTTGAAGTAATTTTTTTTTAAATTTCAACCTATAACTTTAAGATTTTTCGGACTTATTTGGGTTGGCCTTTTAAAGTTAACTCAAATTACTAGCTTTAATAATATACTTGAGCTGCAAACCATCCTTAAATAATCCAAATAGAGTATTCCATCTTTTTTCAAATATAAGAAAAACTACTATGTATTTCTTTATTTTTTATTTTTAAGCAAAATTTGCAAATTTTAAGAAACATTTATCAATATTTAATCACTAGAAAAATTTATTTAATTAATTATAGAGATAATTTAATCCAAATTATTTAATTTGAGATATAGTTATTAAATTTAACTATTTTTTAAATTTTGTGAATTAGTTATTTTTTTTAAAATACTCCTTCTGTTAAAAAATGTAAGGTATTTTTAATTGAATCTCACTTCTAATAAAGTAATTACTTACTTTTTAATTAATCCTATGTTTTTATATCTATCTTTATTAAATACCTTATAATAAATATAAAGTTATTATTAATAGGGATAATTTTAAAAAAAGGCAATGATTATAAATCAAAAAATTAAAAAATATATTATATTTTTAAATATGTAACTCTTTAAAAAATATTTTATATTTTTAAATAGAGGGAGTAGTTATTTTTTTATATTTGAAAACGGATATAGTAGTTATTAAGAATTTTATGATTTTAAAATAAACCATTGCGAATGAGTAGCGATTGATTGGAAGACGTGAATGATGTGGCATGATCTGAATTGTCCATTAGATCCAACGGCATGCTCACCCTGGATCCATTCCAATTCCGTTGCTGGAAGTGCAGAAATTCGACATACTTCGTCGTTTAATTTATATATCTCGTCATTTACTGAAAGGGCGCTTCATCTTCCCATCCTCTGCAGTTTTCCCCACACCCGCGTTTCAGTCAAGTGGAAGGCAGCGAATCTTGAGATACCTTCCCTGATCGTTCACATTTTGATCCTTCTAGGATGAAAATGGAACCTGTGCCTGACTTCGCACTCGATTTTGATGGTGATGTAGATAAAAAAAAAATGTCTAACGGCGCTTAGTATGACGGAGTTGATTTCGATTCTACGAACTGCATGTGGTACGGTGGATCATGATCGCCAAACTTAAGGCCGATATTGCGGCTCTGAACGATAAATTAGAATTGGAGAGGTTAGACAGGATGAATCTCGAAGAGCAATTGAAGAAATATGAGGAGCAATGTGAGATGGGAAAGAAAGTTCAAGAGAGATATGAGAGGTTGTTGGAAGCGGTGGTGTTGGACTCATGGAAGAGTAAAGGTGAGGAGTTGAATGAACGGTCTTTGATGCCTGTGGAAGGCGCGAACTCCTCTCTTTTGCAGAGAAAGACCCAGTTTGGTATTTTAGCAACAGGTATAGAAATTCGTGCGTCTCTTTTTGCTATATGGATAGGCATGGTTGGTGTTGCTACAAATTTTTGAATCATTGAAATGATAGGGTGAATTGAATTTAGTTATGTTTTCGGCTTATAAACATAACATTGGTAGCTGCATTAGCTGGCACCTCGACGTTTCTTGTTTTGTCATGGTAATATGTAAAACATAATTGTGATTAGTTTAGAGAAAATATAATCTTTGTAGTGAATTAGTGACTACTTCTGTCTATTTGTGGTTTGTAGGCCTTCTTGTTGATGGAAGGATTGCCAAAAATTTTAAGTAATTGTGGTTCAACAAACTCTGTCTAGGAATTTAAGGGACAAGGTTTATAAATTTTACTATTGAAGGGATATCGTGGGAAGATATTTCCATATTTGGAATTTCAGTTTAAATGATATGGTAATAGATCTTTCGTTATATATATATATATATATTGGAGGTAAAACAAAGGGGATGTATGTGATGCCAGTTTCAATTGAGGGGTTGTGAAAACGTTTTAACTCCATTTGGGCGTTATTCATTCACGGTGGAAGAGTATGAAAATTTGCAACATATCAATACGTTTTTCTTGTTTTAAAAGGTGAATTGATAAAGTAGCTAATTCTCAACCTAGACACCTGTTCTGTACCGCAGCACTTTGTCTTTGCATCAGGCTTTTCATCTTAGTTTTTGATTTCTTTGTTTATTTTTTGTTTAATCTTTTGGAGCTGAATCTTCTAGGGCCAGTATTATTTTCATCTTTTAGATTTGTTATTGGTAGTTTCTTTCAATTGTGTGCTCTTGAGCTTCATATTATTGGTTGCGTTTGGGATGTTTGAGTAGTTATAACTTGTTCATCTTCATGATGATTGGATGCTAAATATTTTATTATTTCTGTGAGATGAGTTAGGCATTGCAAGTAATGTATTTTTTGTTTATTGTTTGCATTTTTCTGTATATTGTTGAGTGAGTTCATCCATATTGTAGCAGCGGTAAACTTGTTCTTCATTACTTGTAGCACAGATGAATTTGTTCTTGCAACGGCACGAGTATTCTAATAGATAGGAAGGAGAAAGATGAAGTAAGGGGAGATAGATATGAAAGAGACAGAGAAGAGAGGAGGAGGAGGAGGAAGAAGAAGAGAGAGAAATAGGAGAAATTTTCTAGTATCAGTACACAAGACCATAGTAAAACTATTCATAGCTGTTGCCCCTCCAATGGTTATGACCCCCTTACAAATATATAAATACTCGACAAAACTACACAGGCACACATATATTACATATCAATACCCTTCCCCCTTAAGGACCCTTGACCTCAATGGTAAAAAATATTGAATGTAGGGTATTGCTTTTGCGATAAGAAGGGAGGAGTCCTTGTGTTTTATTCATTTAGCAAATCCTTCCATTGCACTGGCACTATGTAATAATTTTTCTTTTACTTCTCCTGATTCTCTTGCTTGGTAATTTCTTGGGAATTAACTATTAAGGTTTCTGGTGGTAAGGGTCAATCTACTGGAGCATGTTTTTGTCTTACAGATCCATTTAGGCATATCTTGAGGACATGTTAATAGGGTGTACGAGAGAATCTGATGGCGGTTTTAATCTGTAAGCTACTGGACCTGCCTTTTGTAGAAGCCTGTGGGGTTCAAAATGTCTAGAAATTAAACTAAGGGCTTGTTTGATTTGTTTCCACAGGACCTCTGGAATAGGAACCCTCATTCCATTCTTTGATGAACAGTGTTTGGTTACTATTTTAAACTCAACGTCCCTATTCCCACAGAGAGCATCATTTCTGCTTCTTGGAGTTGTAGGAATGACCGTACCCTCCAAACATTTAATAAATGCTCATTTCCATATCAGAAGCGCCCCTCTGGACCTGGTTCCCCGTTATCTTCTACCATCTCTACTACGACCACCAGCCAACGATCTGGCAGAGGATTTTTCAGAAATCCAGTTAAATCCTTTCTTGTTTTTTTACCCCCTTATGTCTTACAACTAGTAGCTTTTCTTTAGCTTTATCATACTTTACTCTCTGTTCTTCATGAGGTCTTATAATTCTTACAAATCAAATATGATGTTAGATAGATCTTTTTTTGTTGACGTCCTAGATTACAATGCTATAAGAACTCATCAGATGACTCTTTACAAAAGTTGTTTCATTTTCAGCTTCTTTCTTTGTATATGCCTTGTAAACAAATTACACGTCACCCACCAAATTATCTAAAATTTTAATTTTCTCCTCAGTGATTCTTTCATGGTCAAGATCACATTTTTCACGAGAATACTTTATTAGTAGGAGACTCAGTTTCTCCAACAACTATTTAAGTATTACCTTGATCTAAATAACATGGATAATATTCCTAGCTTTGAAGAATTGATACGTAACATTTTGACTACAGATGATGCAGTGAATTTCCAGCCGGACATATAGTTTACAGAGTCAGATACAGAGGATGAATAGGATGACGAAAGTATAAAACTACATAAGGCCTACAACCAAAGCAAAGGCTGGCATGTTGAGGTGTGAGGTAAGTTTCGAAAACAAAATATCATGCTTATATTGTCAATTAGTAGTTATGTTTATTAAATATTGCTTGCAATTTTCAAGATTCATCTGGAGAGTCTCATCGGTGCAATATGTTTTTGGCTGCTTCCAAATGGAGGTCGAGCGATGGGTCATT